CCTGCTGCGCAGTTCTTCTGGGGTGTGTCCACGTTGCTGGGGCGTGCCCTCCGGAGGCCCTCTGCGCTGTTCCTTCTCCTCAAGCCCAGGACACGCTCCCCCCTGCCCGCACTCTGCTTGCCCATGGCTCGCTCGTCCAGTCTCGGAGCGAGGAGGAGGCGACCGCCCCCCTGCTCAGCCCCGCCCGCTGGCCGCTGGCCGCTGGCCGCTGCCGGGATCACGCGGGGCTGGTGCTGTGGCCCCTGGGCCTCAGCTGAATCGCGCCTCTGTCTCCCGGCTCCCAGCGCTTTTCAATTCATCCCGCCTGCTTTTATCCCCTGCATGAAACCGGCTGTTATTTTTCTGACGCCGCCAGACTCATTAGCTTTCACACTGAATGCGGGCGCACACACAATGGCAGCCCCTCCGAGGCGGGCCGGCTCTGGAGGAGCCCAGGAGGGGCGCTGGACACTGGGGGCCTGCCCGGGCCCTTCAGCGGCTGTCGTGTGGCTGGGTAGGCCTCCCCCCACCCCCGCTGCCAGGGGCCTCCTCCCTCTGGGGTCTGGAGGGCCAGGGAATTGCTCCAAAGTGCGGCTGGCCTGTGAGCCTTGGGTTCCCCTCAGCAGAGGCAGCGCCCTCTTCGCCGAGGCTGTGGGGCACACCAGGCCTCGCCCCTGTCTCCTGGCCCCAGCTCCGGGCGTTTCTAAATGCGCTTTCCAGCCAAAGCCGCAGAGGCCGTGCGGGGCACCCAGGGAGGGTGATTGACAGCCGGCCGCTCTGCAGGGCTGCGGCCAGAGGCCGGCGCGGGCGAGGCAGCTGCCCCGGGGCGCGTTGGTTGTCTCCGACACCCTGTGGGGTTGAGCCCTCTGCAGAGGGCAAAGCCGAGCCCCAGGGTATGAGGCCGCCGCAGTGGGCGAGCCTGGCGCAGGCAGGGACGTGCTGCCCGCAGCTGAGACCCTGAGGGCGCAGCCCCCGAGCACCCCCGGGGATGCGGCCGAGCTGTCCCCTTCGGACCTCCAACATATTCCCCCAGACTGTTATTCCGGAGGCTGAGCTCGGTAGGTCTCGTGTGGTTCTGTTTGGGGGCTCCCACTGGGGGGCCCTAACCGGCAGGCTTATCTCTCCGCTGTGACAGAGACCAGAGCCGGAGGACACAGCCTCGGGGCTCACGCCTGGGGCGGTTCTGCGTTTTCCAGAGGCTTCTGCCCTGTTGTAGAATGTGTCTGGGGGCCCGAGGGCCAGACCCAGGCTGCACGGGCTCCAGACTCCGAGATTCGGGCACACGCTGTGCCGAGGGGCAGACTCTGCCCGGGCGTGAGTGCTGCTCGCCACCTAGGACCTGGTGCTCCGAAAAACTAAACAGGCACAGAAGCAGGCAGGGGCGGGGTCCCAGGTTATGTAGGCAGGTTTTGTGGTCGCCTGAGAACCCCAAGACGGCTGGGGTGTGGCCTCAAGGGGCCGGTGCGGGCCGTGTGCGTGCAGTCACAGGAGGGGCAGCCACCCTGGGGTCACTCTCTTAAGAGCACTTGGCAATGCCCAGGATACTCCATCACGTGGAGTTTTTTCCAGTTGACTTTTAAAGGTTTCTTTATACTTATTTATGCATAGAAAACTGGGGTGCAGGCCAGAGGTGCGGGGGATGAGAGGATCCACCAGCCACAGAGTGGGGAGCAGTACAGGCGGATCTACTAAGATGCACTGCCGAGGGGAGCAGCGGGCGGCTGAGGAGGGGTCTGCTGCGCCCTGGGGTCCCTCCCTGGGTGGGGATCGAACTCGCGCTGCAGCGGCTGCGGACAGCTTCCCAGTGCTGAGACCTAACTCCCACCACACCACGGAAGCTCCCAGTTAATTTTCACTCTGATCCCCGCGGGTTTCAGACACAAGCCCCGGAAGGTGCAGACAGGTGCCCGTCTCCGAGCCGGGGGCGAGGACTGCGTCACGTTCAGAGAAAATCCGCTCCTCAGCGGAGCAAAGCAAAGGAGCTAACATCACGCTTCTGCCGTCCTGCTGCGGTGGCTCAGGGGCGGCTGCTGGTCAGTTTGCAGACTGTCGCTTGTCCTTGAGGTCACCGATGATGCAAACTCGTCCTAACCCTGCTAGCTGGGACCCCCCCCCCGCCAGCTGACCTCACACCTGCCCGCCTCCGCCTCAGCTTTGCTTATGTGAACTGTCCTCCTGTGCATGAGGGGACCCTAAGCTCAGGTTAGAGGCCTGACACGCCTGTGGCAGCTGGGGGGCCCAGCGGGGGGGCAGGGGACCCCCGCCCACGCCGCCTTCCCCCCATGCTCCGCTGCAGCCTTGTGGGCGGGGCCAGCTGTGTGGCAGACACGTGCACCTCAGCGTGCCAACCGGCAGCAGGAAGCAGCCAAAGTGACGTCCCCGCCAAGGGGCCCCTCGCCATGAGGCTCGCAGGCCGTCCGGACTGTCTCCCGGGTCTGCAGCCCGGGCCGGCGGCTCCCAACTCGACCGCAGCCCTGCAGACTGTCAGGAGAGGCTGCGCCGGGGAGGGGTGGGCGTCACTTAATGAGAGCTGGGGACAGGCGCAGCGGCTGCCCCGGGAGGCTGAGGCAGCTCCCGAGGGGGCGGGCGCCTCCGAGTCGGCTCCACGCCCTCCCTGGTGCTCCGGGCCCTGGCGTGGGCTCGCCGCTCCCCCACAGGTCTTCCGGGCTGGCCCACCTCCCTGCTGCCGGCCGGCGGGCTCGCACTCGTCTCCCAGAACTGAGCCGGTGCCCCCGGCCACGGCTGTGGCTCGCGGCAGCGCCCCAGTGCCCCTCGCCCTCACCGACCTCCGTCCTGAGGCTGTCCTGGGCCGCAGGCCGGCTGCCGGCCGCGGTGTCTTCCCCGGCGGTGGCTGAGGTGACGACAGCGAGCGGGTCCCAGTTTCAAGCCGTGACCCAGGCCTGGAGAGAGCCCGGGGCCGAGAGCGACAGGGCTCAGAGGTCAGCGCTCGCCGCAGAGTGCGGTGGACACAGCCCAGGGCGCTGAACAGGCGGGCCCTTGCGCCTTCACCGGCAGGAAGCGCCCAGGCGAACGGCGGACGCCTGACTCCCCAGGTCGCCCGCAGCCCGGAAACCAGGCCCGGAGGGCGGCCCCGCGAGGAGCTCACCCAGGAAGCCCGGCTCGGCCCATGCCCCGGCCCCGGTCTTTGGGGTGTGGTCCGGGAACTCGCGTGCTCTGGGGAGTCCAGAGCCTGTTCAACAAACGGGCAGTTTCCTCCAGCGCTTTCAGATAAGCCTTTGGCAGCCCTCGCTAGGGTCAGCCTTGCAGACTGGCCACGGCCCGAAACCCCTAGCCTGCGCGTCGGGGCGGGGGCTTTGGAGCCTCCCCTTCTGGGGGAGGAAGGGAGCGCGGCACAGGCACTTGGTATGTGCGAGGCAGAGGCGGCCATCAAGCAAATTAATAATTCTGCAGCAAAACGTGTGCACATCACTCCACCCGCACTCACACTATCAGCAGCCGCCGTGGGCTCTCTAGTTCTGTTGGACGCCACGGGAGGCCCCGGGCCCGTGGTTCTGAGACCATTCGGGTTTGGGACTCACCCGTTCGCAGGCGTCCCGGGGCGTTTTCTGAGGTGGGGCAGTTGCTGGAGTTGCCCCGGGTTAGCGAGGCCGACAGCCGGGGGCGCGAGCAGCGGACGGGGCTGCCCACGCGCCTGCTGGCCAGGGGGCTCGTGAGGCCACGCGGGGACATCCAGAGGCTTCTGTCCACTGTCCACCCCGCCTGGCCTGGCATGTGAGCCGGGAGGGGGAAGGGCGTGGTGGGAGTAGTCGGGGACCCCACAGCGCCACCCCAGAGCTGGCGCTGGGCCGTAGCCACCCGCTGAGTGAGCGGCTGTGTGAGCATGGGGGGGGGGAGGGCGGACGGGCAGGCAGGCGGCAGCCTTCTGACTGCCCACTGGGAACAGGTGACCCTCGGTTCTCATTCTGGAAGGAAGAGCGCCTGACTTTGCTAATGGAACCTGGGGAGTTAGAACTGGGGGACTGGAAGTTAGAACTGGGGGCCTGGGAGTTAGAAATGGGGGGCCCGGGAGCTAGAAAGGATGCGCAGCCCGAGCTGGGCCTGGGCTGAGAGTGATAGCCCTTCAGCCATGCCACGCCAGACCCCATACCCCAAGGACGGTCTTGGAGACGTCAGTGGCGTGCTGGGGGGTCACCCCGCCCCTCTGTGGGCACTCAGCCCAGAGGCCCCCACTCGGGGCGCCGGGAGGACCCCCCAGCACCACCAAAGACCAAGCACCCGCCATCCTAGAGTCTACTCACGGGCCCTGCTCTCGCCCGCCCCCCCCATGCCCACTCGGCAGCCCCGTGTCCGGGGTCCCCGGGGGACCCAAGAGCTTTGAGAGCTGCTGCCCCGGCGGGCCACACCCAGGGCACCTCCCCGTCATGCCGGGGGCCAGCGCAGAACTGTGGGCGTCGAGGCCGGCCGGTGGGGCGGCTGGGCCGCCTCCAGAGGGCCCCAGCAGTTCCCGGATGGGGGTGTTCTGGGCGTGACCCGAATGCATGGCCAGAGTGGGAACTCAGGGCCCCCCGTGGAGCAAAGCCCGCCCGG